AGCAGCTGCTTGCCCTACAGCTACCAGTCCTGCCTTCCCATACCAGACTTGTGGCTGTTTGTGCCCCTCACCAAACATCAGCTTCGTCACTGCCACCATCAGTGACTGGATCCACAGTCAGACCCAACCCAAGATGCAGGGCAAGTCTGACACCCCTGCCTTGGTGGCCGCATCCATACAAGCATGGCCATGCAGTATGTGGCACCACAGACACGTTCTCCGTGCTGCAAGAGAGCAGCATGGGGTTTTTTTTGACCCAATGCTGGCCCCTGCCTCCCCTACCCCACCTGGGGTAACCTGCCATGCACCAGTCGGCACATGGCAGAGGCGTTTCCCAGGGACAACTAGCAGAAGCACAAGGAGTCCTGCTGCTAGTAGTCCCCAGGGAACAAAACATACATGCTCATGTGGACACAGCCAGTATTTCCAAACAGTACTTAAGCTACAGGGTAACATTTCCAACCACCTAAGAATGCCAGTCTTCTGTATGTCTTGAATCCCCCTTCTTCAACTCTTGTTGCTCACCTCCTCTATGTCTCTGCGGGCTTAGTGACTTAAACCCCAGCTGTTATTCTTACTTCCTTATCTTGGTATATTTTGTCCCTGGTCAGCATCTTCTTCAAGTCACTGGGGGGGAGGGGTGCTTTGTATTACCCCACTTTTGCTACCTCAAAGGATTAGTTGGTCAGGGAACCAGCCAAGAGTCATATCAATGTCTTCCTCATTCGGTGAATGGGAGTTTCTCTTGATAGAGTGCAAAGGATAATAAGAAAAAAGAGGTTTCATTATGATGAGAAATGTAGTAGTGCTGCGCTGTATTTGCATTGAGCAGGTGCGTTCCAAACTGCTAATTCAAGCCATCACTGAGGCAACTGTTTAGGCCTACCTCATGAAACAGGACATTTTCCTAAATCCCTCCCCACTGACAGGACTTTATTTTCACCTGAATTATATGAAGTAATGAGGAACCAAATAGTTCTTCAGGTAAATGTCCCTTCTGAGAATTCTACAATTCCTGGATTTTAGGCAACTTTGATTTTTTGGTCTTTTATTGCCAACCAACCAAAACTAATGAGCGGGTAAGAGCAGGTTGGCAATGAGACCCTATCAAAACTATTCTGGGCTGCTTTCCTCATTGGTTGGGAATATTCCATCTCTCCTCAGCATGCCATAGTGTAAGCATTTAAATACATAGAAAAAAAAATCCTTTCCTTATGTCTAAACTCTTGATTTGCAGAAAATACTAACTATGCTGTCCAATACAGACCCTCCTGCATCGGAGACCAGTATTCTGCTATTGCAGGCAACTACATCATAATCTTGTTCATGAATCTGGCAGCTTTTAGGAAGAGTCTGATCCACTATCCATCCCTATTATACAAGTAAAAATATCAGAACTTGCACAAGTAGCTGGAAGCTAGAAAGAAAAAACTTTTTTCTGCCTACTAACAACCAGGGCCCATGTTGAACTTTCAGCCACATCTGACACCTACAGAGATAATGGCCCTTGACTAGTTAATGGACAACTGGGATTTGTGGTAGTCTCCCCACCACCTGCACAGAAAGGAGTTCTGTTTTCCTAGTTTGCACCACTATTTCCTCAGTTCCACCAATCCTAAGTATTGGTACTTGGCTACAGATTTAGCATAGAAGATTAAACTACTACACTACAGAGGTATTTATCCTAAGAAGGTATTCAGCTGTTTAGTAAGATGGATGCTGGTAAAAGCAGAAGTGAAAGCTTTTCTCCTTGTGAACAGTAATATGGTAGCACTTAAGAAAGGGCATTGTGCTGTTTACAGGGCAACAGCCTGAATGCAGATATGAAGACGTTGGCACCTTAAAAAAGTCTAGACTAAGGGAGTTAAAGTTTGCTGCCTAACTGCAAAACTGTGTGTGTACACAACAGCTTCAGAACCAACCCATTCACATCACCTGCCATCTTCTTATGCATCTACCACTGTGGCCACAAGCAGACTTAGTGGATCAGAACAAACGCACTACAAGGAAATCAAAAAGGAACACAGTATTTCACGTGGCCTGCACACTCCAAGCAATTTATACCACCACACGGCCTCTTCTGACCCTGCTCTCAAACATCCAAGTCACTCTTCTCTTGGTCCTGAACATGCCCATTTTCATCAAGTTCTTCAGCGAGTGGTGACATTCCAAGTCAGCTCACTAAGGGTGCTTGTAGACATGCTGCAATTACAGCATGTCAGAGCAAACTCGATTAATGGAGTCTGCTGGAGCGTGCTAATTATCATGCTCCAACAACCACGGCATCTCATGTATTCAGCACCCCTACACTTCAAAATAGTGGCGGGATACTTTAAAGCTCATCAAACAAGCTTTACTTAAAGCACCACTCCTGCCACCATTTTGAAGCACAGGCGCCGAATACATGAGACATGGTAGGTGCTTTAATTAGAGCCCTCTCCCTCCACACCAACCCCCAGAGCAGGTATAAAGATGCCTTAAGTGGCTTGCCCACCAGGAGAGAAATTAACAACTTCACACATTCTGCAAATGATGTATGCAATTTCAAAGAACAGTTTTATTCTGGTTCATACTATCAAAACTAGAGGTTCACAGATTCAGATTTTTTGGACCAATACTGATGGCTAATTATTAACGAGCCACATCAGCTGATACGGATGTGATTGCCAATATGCAACCCGGCAGCTTGAACAGCAGCATATGACTGGTAAGTCTGTTGGTGGGAAAGGGCGTGTTGAGGCCCCCTGCAGCAAGGGAGGGAGTGGGACTGAGGCTGGGACAGGGGCAGGTGCTGCCCAGCCAGGACAAGGCACAGGACAGAGCTGTGTGCAGCTCATCCAGAGGGTGTGGCAGAGGCTGGGCTGCTCATGCCGCAGTGTGCATGCCTGGAGGAGGCATGGGGGTGTGTGCTCCCTGGATGTGTGAGCATAGCGAAGGTGGGCTGCTGCTGTGAGCTGGAGGCAGCTCCAGGCTCTTCCTGGTAGGGGTGCTGGGTTGGAGCTACGCTTGGGACAGATGGTAGTGGCAGTACTGGGAGGAGGGGCTGCAGCAAATTTTGGGGTGGCATGTAGTCCACCCTGTAGCCCCCCCATTTCAGTGCCGCCCCCCACCCCAAGTGCAGCTCCAGCCCAACCCCCCCCACCGGGAAGAGCCTGGCTCTACCCCAGACTGCAGCAGGCAGCCTGCCCTCGCCCCACACACAGATCTGAGAGGCACAGGCCCCCTATGCCTTCCCCTGGGGTGCATGCTGCCCCTGCCCCAGCCCCACACTCTCCCCCACTGTGGGGGCCTTGATAAGTCCCCTGCATACCTCTTCCCCCCCCCCCC